TGTGAATGGGACATTATTTTACCCTTTCTGAATTACAGACTTAGGAATTCAACTATTTTTTCCTTTTTATAGATGTAGGTTTTTCTTCACAATTTAAAAAAGTTCTTTAATAAAGTTAGAAAGAAGGCACTTTTTGTTGTTAATTTTTTGAATCACTTGGGCGGGGGTTGCTTTTTAAGTGTATTTAGGACATAGTGTTCAGGAGAAGGCTTTCGGTCTGGTGTGAGCAAATCCATAGTCCACTGTATCACGTCCTGGTCTCCAGTTATGCGCCACCTTTCTGGGCGTTTGTTCTCCTTTCTTTCCCTTCTGTAACCATGTAACCCTCCAGCCTCCGTCCCTCCTGGTGTCCTCCACTCTGAGGTTGACTGCTGCCTGCCTCCCCGGCAGGGTCTGCCTGCCAGAGGTTATCCAAGCTCCTTGCTCTCCTCATGGTGTCTTAAATTGATGGCTTTGGAGAAGCGTCCTGCAAGAGGAAGTTTTACCTGCACTTCTCATCTGTGCGCTTATTAAAATACTTAATGTGCGCCGCGCTCTTGCGTGATTCAGAGGCAGCGCTTCGTTTCACTCCAACAGCATCTGGGTTGACGATATCGGATCGCTCTCCCACGGTCACCGAGGTTAATACCAGGGCATGGGGTTACAGTGCTGGCCCTGGGTCCAGCTTTGGGAAGGTAACTTTGGTGAGACTTTTCCAGGACCACTTTACCATCAAAGCTCAGGTTTCTGTCTCAACACTAGAACACCGAGGACTCCCTTGACTCGCAGAGTGAGCGTCCAGTCAGATCCAGAGGTAGGTGGCCTTTCCCTGGCCGTTTCTTCCTAGTCACCCTTGATATAATGGGGGAGAATCAAAATGTACTCAAATAGAAAACTTGGCAATTCCCCTCAAGTAAAATGCCTTACTTTTGCAAATCTTTTCCTCCCTCCCTCCCTCCCTCCCTCCCTTCCTTCCTTCCTTCCTTCCTTCCTTCCTTCCTTCCTTCCTTCCTTCCTTCTTTCCTTCCTTCCTTCCTTCCTTCTTTCTCTCTGTCTGTCTTTCATTCTTCCTTCCTTCCTTTCTTTCTCTCTTTCCTTCTTTCTTCCTTCCTTTCTCCCTTCCTTCCTTCCTTCTCTCTCTCTCTTTCTTTCTTTCTTTCTTTCTTTCTTTCTTTCTTTCTTTCTTTCTTTCTTTCTTTCTTCCTTCCTTCCTTCCTTCCTTCCTTCCTTCCTTCCTTCCTTCCTTCCTTCCTTCCTTCCTTCTTCTCTTCCTCCCTTCCTCCCTTCCTCCTTCCTTTCCTTCCTTCCTCCCTTCCTTCTTTCCTTCCTTCCTGCCTCCATTCTTCCCTTCCTATGTGAAGTCAGGAATTCTTGGCATGGATGAAGATATCAGAAAAGATGAAACACCTCTTCATCCTGGTGTGCTATAACTTGTCAGCTAACTGCCTTATTTCCATGGATTCACTAGGATGGTAAGGGGCATGTATTACTTTCTATTTGATTCAATTTTTCTACTTGTTCAAATCTTGTAGATAAAAAAGCTGCAGTAAATATATGAATCTCATCATTATACTCCTTTTTTCACAAAATAATGGATTTTGAACAAGTGGGATAATAGAGCAGAATATGGTGAATACTTATGTGTGATGAGGGAGATTGTATTTCAGAATGAGACTAATTCTAGCCCTTCTATGCACTTCAGTTTTATGCTTTATAGCATCGTGCACATGGTCAGTAGTAAGAATGATTATCTTCCTTCCTGTCTATCATAAAGATACACTCCTTATCAATTCTATTATGTGTGTACTTTTTTGGGGGAGAATAACAATACCTTGGGTTGATTTCCTGCTATAAATGTCATTGTGAAAAGAAAACAAAACCTTGAGCCAGCCAACAGTTCCTGGAGGTGATTCTGAAATGTACTACTGGAGGGTTTTCTATAATAATTGAATTATCATTTCCTGTTTCCCTTTGGGATGCTAGCTTTAACAGAACCATGAGAGATCACTTAGAGTCACTTGTGACTATACAATAATGACATAGTTTTGGCGATTGGCTGTGGTATTTTCTCATTACTTTGGAGCTAGAGCCAATAATTTTCTTGTCTATTGACAAAGTCATTTGTACACAGTGACTAACAAAGAAAAATTCTATATTTAGAAGACTTCAGAGCAAGAAATCCACTACCTCTTTTTATAAACATTTTTTATATTAAAAAATCAGTATCAGAAGGTGGTTCTTTAGATTCAATCCAAATTATAAGAAGCAACAATATATACAGCTCTTAGCAGTATAGTAGGCAGATTTAACTACTACATACAATGGTTTTAAAAGTATAAAACAAAGATTTGGAAAAAATTCAAACAATATGTATAGTAATTTTGGATAAAGAGGTATAAATAAACATATCCCTTTTCTTTAACAGAAATATACTGTTCTTGTTAAAGGTGGAAATTCCCTGCATAGCTATCATTTCTGCCACAAAACCAAAAGGAAACTCAATTCATTAACTATTAAATTAAATTGCAGTACCTTTCATCAGAAACACTTAATCCTCATTGTTTTAGTCTATTCAGGGTTACTCATGAAGTCCTTTAGATATGCGTACTTTTCAGTACTTTTTTGTTATCTGGGAGGCCATAGAGTTTATAAGTACTAAATTCAATATTTGTAAGTGATTTCCATTTTATAAGAAGAAAGAATAATCTTGCTTGTTTTTTCCTATTAAAAATCTTTGCCGACATAAGTTTGAATTAATCTCTTTAGAAACTTTTTTGCACTATTAGATTTTATTTTTCAGATTTATTCTTTAGAAGACATTGATTACAGTAGTACGAGTTTAAGGTGGTAGGAATGGGATGGAAATGTGGAGGTGTGTATACTTTTCCATATAAATTGCTCCATAAATCTGTAAGAAAAGCTTGGAGTGTGTTTGTGAATAATGTATTGTGCTTCAAGTATGGCGCATTGGTTCCTGTGAATATGGATTTGACAGGGTTCAGATTGAATCTCTTAGGTTGTACTTGAAATGTGCCAAGTTATTCAATAGGTTATCGGATATCCCATGTGATCTATGCAGACCTACATAGTAATGGATGCCGGCCTTCCCTTCGAGGGGCAAAATGCTCATATTTACTATAGTAATTACCATCCATCAAACCACACAAAAGTTATTGGATCAAGAAAACAGATTTTCTGTTTCTAGAGCTTTTATAATACAACTCTGAACCTGAATATTTCAAATTTATAGTTTTGATAAGAAAGAAAATAAATTTTTATAACCTGTTCTCAGCAGTCTTGTATATTCCTAAAGTCTTGTGATGTGATTCCATTTAATCCCCCAAATCTTGGGAAGACAGTATGTCTTTATTTCCTGATGCCCATGAGGCAGCCTGTTTCTTCTTTGTGGAAAGCTGTTAGGGATGTGATTAAGGTGATCTCCCTAGAAAAGTGAGCGATATTTGTGTGCAGAACTTTCTTCAAATTCTTATTCAAAAAGGTTTGCCTGCAAAATTAGATTTCTATTAAATAGGGCTGTGGGATGGGATAAGAATAAAATGTTTAAACAAAAATTATGATTAGCCTTTTTATACAGCACTTCTGCACCTGATTAACCTTTGGGAATTAAAAATAAGACTTCAGACCTTTTCACCTTTGCTGATACTGTATTTGGGAAGTGAGTGCGAATTTGTAAATCCCATGATATATATTAAATGCAGATTGATTTAAAATGTTAAAGATTGGTTATTCACCTTTTTCCAGAAACATAGCAACAATCAGTCTATATATGTTAAATCACAATTAGAAAAAGCAAGGGCAGCCGTGGGTCTGCGGAGTCATATGTCACTCCGCGGACAGCTGCAACGTGAAGCTGGGAGGGTCACAGGTGCTGGCTACACAGGAGGGTGACCTCTCCGCTTTGTGACAGGTTGGTACGAGGAGTGGCTCCAGAGACCCACGTGAGAGCTATGGTTCTCCACAGAGCTCTGTGCAGACCAAATGTTTCCATCCTCCACAACGCACTGGTTTAAATTTAAGAAATAAATTACATATGTAACCTGTCATACGTGAGAAATTTTAGTAAATTTAATCAAGTTACACAAGAGAAATCCAATCCGGAGGTCAATGGACAGTGTTTGATTGCTTTTGCTTGATTCTGAGCTGAAGAGTTGGGACTGAATTATTAGAGTCAGAGTTTGGCTCTTCTCAGAATGAATTTGGGCTCAGTGGGGAGCCCTGAGGCAGAGCTTGGTGAATTCCTTGAGACTGGAGCAAAGCTGTTCCCAGGACATGGAATGCCGGAGGTGGACCATGCAAACAAGCTGACCTCCTAGCTCAGTTGCTTATCAGCAGGTTCCCAGGCCCTCCACGTTCCTCCCTGTTAACCAAAGCACAAATAGCTCTGAGAATGTCTCATCTTCCCTGGGCTCAGCAAAGCACTGAGACCTTGTACTTTCTAGCCCATCACATGCTCATCCTCTTTTTACTGTGTATAAATGAAGACCCTGGGGCTTGCCCGGTACCACCACTTCTCCATCAGAGGGCAGTGACCAGACTGGCACAGCTCTCCTTCTCCTGTGTCTCATCTTTTCTCAACCTCCTGTCACCCCCGTCAGGATCCCACCAGCCATGCAGACGTGGCAAGGCTTAATAGCTGTCTGACCTTTGGGTAAGATACATCCCTTTCCCCTTTATGTCCTGTTACCCTTTTAAATTGTACTGTCTGCATTTTGTCACGTGGGAGCCATGGACAGCAGTACCTACCTCAAGGAGTTGTGTGTAGTGTTTGCGGCAATGTGTTTTGTTTTTATTCTATATTTCTTGTACCATGCACTGTCTTGTGGAAGCCTTAGTTTGCTTGGATTTTAATTCCATTTTCATAACAATAAAGTCTCCATTCTAGATCTCTCATGGGCTTTAGGTTTGTGTACCTAAGTTTTAAGTCATTTATTTTCACTTGAATTTCTCACCAATGTCTCAGATTTACCATATTTCAAATTACTCTTTGTTTTTTTCTGCAGAGAAATTACCTTTGATTCACCACTACATTTAAACCAAACCATCAAAATCATCAGAAGACCTGCTGATTAGATGTTTCAACTGTAATTTGCATCTACCTTCTTCCTTCCGTCTGCAGTTCCCTCCCTCAGCCGACTGGTCAGGTTGTGCCTGGATTGCTTCCAGAGTCTGGAATCTGTATCCTTTCCATCCTGTCTCTCCTAGTCTATTTCCAGGGTCTAGGGTCTCCTCATTGTTAGGACTGTGGTATCCTTAGCATCTAAACTGGACCAACCAGTTCACAGCATTCTCCTCCTCCCTTTCACTATTTCTCTTTCTTTCTTTCTTTCTCTCTTTCTTTCTTGGTTTTTTTTTTTTTTTTTTTTTTTTCAGTACCCAGGGCATTTGTACTGAATATCCCCAGAAAACATTTTTATTTTGAGACAGTGTCTTGGTTACTTTTCTCTCATTGCTGAGACAAAATACCCAATGCCAAAATGAAGGAAGGAAAGGTTTATTTAGCTTACAATTTGTGGAGGTTTCAGTTCATACTTGGCTGGCTCCGAGGCAGAAGATAGCAAACCAACAAGAGCAAAGGGGGGAATGGCAGCCGAACAGCAAACAGCCAGAGCAAAAAGGGAGGAATCGCCGCAAGCAGCCTTTTTCCCTGCCTTACTTTGTAAACAGGCTACCCCCACCTAAGCGGCATGTAGCTCTCACATAATCTGCATGCCCTCCTCTTCCACAGGCTCAGGATGCATACAAAGTAAGCACCTGGCTTCCTGCTGAGTCACTTAGCCAAACCTCTAGACTCCCCAAGTTGACACAACGTATCAACCATAACAGACAGGATCTCACTAAGTTGTCTAGATGGAACTCAGACTTGTGGTCCTCCTGCCTCGGCCTAGCACAGTGTTAGGATTACTGGTATGCATCACTATGCCTGACATTAGCTTTACCTTTTAGAAGGAGCTCCCACTAAGTTTAAAATAAAATACTTTTTTTTTTTTTTTTTTTTTTTTACAATGACCCTCTGCTAATGGGTAAATGGTCTCTGGGCACATGGCTTATGTGTCCTACTGACAGAGTGGGAGGTGGCCCATCACTCTTTGGGGGCAAAGCCACGTTTCCTGGGCTGCTACTTGCCATTTTGACATTGGCAGTTCAGTGTGGAGGGCTGTGTGCCGTGTGAGCTGCACATTTCCAGTTTGACCAATCCCCATGTCTCCTCCATCTTGGCTTCCTCTGGCCTTTTGTTATTATTTCTACCCTGTGTAAGCTTGGGTAGGGTAGAGGTTTCCCTTCTGCGGTGCTTGCTATGAAGCACTCTAGTTTTCCCTAAACTTCACACCTGCCTATTCAAGTTCATAACCCTGGACTCCTTCCACAACAAGGAATCTAATGGCTGCCCCATAGGTAGGTTTAGACCACTGCAAGGGCTGCTTCCCATTCTTAGGTGGGTGAGGACACACGAGCACCCCCAAACCATTGGACATATTTCCCTGCCATCGAAATGCAACTCAAAGGAAGGGTGCAGATATTTGACCATTTGTTTTCCCTTAGCCTTCTTTCCTTCTTTTCTTCAAAATATCTTTGGGCCAATGAAGCCTTACTTTTATTTTAGGTACCATATATTGTAAAGCAACAAATATAGTCTCATTTCTCTCAGTAATAAAGAGCACTTTCTCTGTTTTTTGAGTGTTCTACATGATCTGAGCCCCTCAGGCTCAGACTTTACTATACTATGCTGTCAGTGGGGAGGGATTAAGGACATCCCAGAAATCTCTCAGAATAATAACATTGTCTATAGGAGTTTTCTTTCTCCAACTTCTATTTTGCATAAAACATAAAATATTACCAGACTACCTCCCCCACACTATTCCCAATGCCACTTGTTTCATTTTTTCTTTTGGAAATTCTAATCTGATCCCGCAGGCAAATGCGTGCCTTTGGCTGACTAAGGTAAAGATCAGATACTCATGAAAGGAATCATAAAAACAAAAGAGAGAATCATATTCATTATAGTCTAAGTAGATTTTCTTTTCCTAGGCATTGATTTGGAACAAAATATTTGAAGGAACAGGGGAAACTATTCGGTACTGATGTTAAATTACTTATAAGATCACGGAGAAAACTACGAGGAAAATTGATCAGAGAGATGTTGAGAGACAGTTGGTGGAGCATTTGTGTGGTTTTTCCGTCCACCAGTCCTGCTGGGTTAGCGTGTGAGATTAGTTTCTGAAGTTTAGCTCTTCGTGTCAGTCTTGCACCAGGGCGTAGGATCACCCATTTTGGTTGGCAACATTTAAATTCTAAAGACATCGTCTGTTTAATTGTCCCAACCCCAAATTTGTTGCCATCGCCTGCCCTTGACTTTGCATGATTTAGTGACGGGAAAGGTCTATGTGGAAACACCGCACAGTCAGCACTTAGAGGAGAATGTGAAATTTGTGGTGTTGGCTCTGCTGGGCAGATAAACTGTAAGAAAAGATTGCGGTTATTAAAATAAGATCGTGACTGCTGGATGCCTTTGCCAAGAGGTTTATTGTAATGGGATATGGATCTTGTTAATTAACTCAATAAAAAGTACTAAATCTAGAAGGTCCTCTCTGGAAAATACAGAAGGGACAATTTATGTGTTTTAAAGAGTGTTATAAACTCATCAACTTTTCCCTTAAATGTGCACTGTGCCTGCAGCCAGCTGGCCATTCTACTGGTACATGAGATGCACTGGGTGCTTGACTGAGACCCTCACATATAATATTTAAAGTCCAAAGAGAGGACCCCAGCCCCAAAGGGAATTCTTAAATATCAGTATCAGTTTTATGACACTTGAAATTTCCGACCTAATTTCAGACCGTAGAAATGATCAAAAACAGATATCAGGTGAAAGAACCATTGGAGATGTTTCTGCAGGAGGGGTTGGGAGTAAGGATGACTCATTTCTAGGTCTGGGCTCCCAAGGAGAGAGAAAAGGACAACAAGAACTCACTGAGTCCTGCAGAAGCAGGAGGTCCTGACTGCCCGCCTCATGCAGAGCAGAGAGAGCAGCTGCTGAGGCACTTGAAGTAGCTCCCCTCTCCCCATGCTGACCCCGTGGTGGAGATGTCAACCTGTTGTCTGCTTGAAGGGATTCTGCCTCCACAGTCTATCAAAGCAGAGGAAATGCCAGCACAGAGGCCCTGTGCAGCAATGGCCAGGAAGCCAGGGGTTAGGAGGGGAGCCAGGAGGGAAGCCGGGGGAGGTGATGGGGAGGCCCCAGCAGGACAGGGCCTTCAAGCCGCCGAAGGGCAGAGTCCACACTAAGTAACACTGCATCCTGAGCATGTAACTGGTCCAGTTCAACTTTCTGACATCATATGTCCTTTTGTCTCCCTGAACTAAAGTTGTGGAGGACCCAAAAGTTGTAAGCAGTTTTGGTGAGGAAGTGAGAAAAACGTAGGAAGAAAATATTGTTTATACCTTGCCCCCTCTTCAAGAAATTAGGAAGCTGCTAAATCCAGACCTGCTTGGCAGGAAAGATTTCACCCAAAGTCACTGTGAAAGTTTTGATAGTTGCACGTGATAGGACATTTTATTTATTTATTTATTTATTTATTTATTTATATTTTAAAGAGAGTAGTACATGAGACACAAACAAACAAAAGTAGAACAGTAGCAACGTATCAGTATCATGAACATAAACAAATCAAAGCGAGAACATTCAGAGTGATACAGAGTCTGAAGACAAATTAATACAAATCAACAGTGGTTGTTACATTGCATATCACTGTCCTCAACTACATTGCTCAGATTATCAGATATAAGAATGAAAGATTGCTCAAACCATTAAGCAGAATGAGAAAATAATTCTTCAATAAAACATTAGAGATAGTACAGAGTTTCACTGGACAAGATAGTAGGAGTTCACCATTGTAATTCCATTGCATATTGTTATCTTGAAATCAGTTGCTCAGACCACCAGACGCAAGCATGCAAAGTAGATCAGAACATAAAAAATTGTGAGTATTAACTGTTCATTTCAATACATCATCAGACATCAGCAATACAGTTATCTCAGTTGTTCATATATATATTTATATTTTGCCTTCCTTCTTTCTTTTTTCTTCTTTCCCTCATCCCACTCTTTCCTTCCTTTGAGCAGTTTCTTTCCCTTTCCTATCATCTATTGTATGGTTTGAGTTTTACCTGGTCTTTCAGGTTCCTTCACCAAGAGGACAATATGATGTTTACACATGTGGGTCCGATTTATTTCACTTATGAGTATGGTCTCTAGTTGAATCCATTTACCTACAAAATCCTCGAGTTTATCTTTTTTAATAGCTGAGTAATACTCCATTGTATAAAAATACCACATCTTTTTTTATCCATTCCTCAGTGGATGGGCATCTGGGTCATTTCCAAGATTTAGCCATAGATATTTTAATTAATAAGCTAAACTTATTCTCATGGAAGTGGGTCTCAGAGTAAGTAGAACAGCTGTCCATTCTTCCTGAGTTACGAAAGAGAAACTCTTTCTGAAGGTTGGTTAAGGGAAGATTGGGAAATAAAATGAAGTTGTATCATGGAAAATCCACCACTTACGGCATGATGTCTTAGGGAAATCAGGAGTGCGATGAGGTCTTTCATCTGAGCTAAGGCTGTGAGACCATGCAGTGTAAAGGAGACTTGAGCTTAAGCAGGTCTCAGGAGGAACTCTTGGGTGGGTTTAACCGGGACAAAGAAGGGCACTGTCACATTTCCTGGAGGTGGGGTTTAAGTTTTATCTTGAAAGATGAAGCAGTGTGAACTCTGCAAGAACTGAGAAAAGAGGCTAGAAGGAGCAGCACATGCCACATTGCAATGGATTTTTCCAGAGAGGACTTTTGCTTCTATGTCTCACCCCTTCCTGCTTTGCTGGAATGACCCGAGGCAAGGAGCAGGCTGGAGAGGGGGAACTGTACGGACTGTTTGCACCTCCGAGCCTCCCATGGGGGATGCTTCTGCTCTTCCTTCCTTCCTTCTGCCCTCCACTCCAAACCCTTTACATTTCTGGAATGAA